GGAGGGGCCCTGCGCGGTGACGGAGGTGCAGACTGGACTGAGGCTGGCACAAGCCCCAGAAGAGTGGTCACCGGTCCCCTCCAGAGCCGGCCAGGAGGCGCCGCCCCCAGGGGCTGGGCCCTCCGGACACCTGGGCCTCAGACTCTGGCCCCCAGGGCTGGCAGAGTCGACGGGATTGTCTCCTTCCTTGGGGGACGGGGCAGGGCATCAGGTTCTGCAGGAGTGGGAGTGGGAGATGCCACGGGGCCTGCAGGGGAGACAGGAGGACCCCGCCTGCATCTCCACGGCTCTGTGCCGATCGCCCCGTGGCGTCTGCGGGATCCTGCGTGTCTCGGCGTGCGTGCGGGGAGGGACTGCCAACCGAGCTGCCCGGGGGGGCAGAGCGCAGAGTCCGAGATCCGGGCTCGGCAGACTCGCCGGCCCAGCTCCCGCGCGGGGCTGGGTGCTGAAGTCCAGTCCCGACAAACTCACTCGAGCTCGGGAGATTCCGAAACGGGCGATGCCAGCACGCCCCTCCCCCAGCCCCGCTCCGGAATCCCAGCGCCCCGCCCCCGCTCCTGAACTCTCGGCACGGCGCCCCGCTCGCCCACGCGCCCACACCCGACCGCGCGAGTCACGGCCTCCCACACAGCTCCCTGGCAGCGCTCCCCTCAGCGTGCTGGCCGCCTCCACGCCCCGCGGGCTCACCGGCCCACTCAGCCCCCGGGCTGCGGGGCCCAGGCCGGACTCCCCGGCGGGCCGGGTGCTGCCCTCTCTCCAAGCCCCTCACCCGGGGCCGTCCTCTCCGCCAGAGCTCACAAAGACGGTCCCTGGACAAACCCCACGTCCCCTTCTCAGACACAGCCAACGACCCCTCCAAGAGGCTCTGCCGTGCCGGGGCCGGTCCAGCCACACGCTCCACGGGTGCCGGCCTCCCTGCCGCCTGGCCGTGCTCAGCGGGCAGCGGGCCCCCCCGGGGCTCCCCCAGGACTCCGCTGCACGGAGCGCTGCGCTCTCAGCACCTCCCAGGGGGCCGCTCGGAGCACCACCTCCCCGCCCCTCCTCCCTCTTTCTTTTCCTCCACAGGACGCCTCCCCACCCGGCATTAGAATGGTCACTGGGCATTTACTCGCTCGTGGTCTGTCCCACACACCGGAATGTCCACTCCCCGTCCAGCTTCTTCCCCACTGAGCCCCCCCGCGCACCCCAGGGGCCACAAAAACCCCTGTGAAATGAGTGATTACGTGAACCCCTTCCTCGGGCCCGAGCGCGGCCTGGCAGCGCGGGCGGGGCCTGGGCAGGGGACAGGATTGTCACCCGGGAGGCAGGCGGCGAGGAAGAGAGGCGGCCTGCGAGCGGGAAGGAGAAGGGATGGGAGGCCAAGCAGGCGCTCTGTGGGCCGACATTCGGGAACACGGGGAAGAGGCCCGCTGGGCTGGGGCCGGAACCACGTGTCCCTGAAACCGCGCGCACACGGGGCCAGCCGCTCCCGCCCGCACGGCGGGGCGGCACTGCTCCCTCTGAGTTCGCCCCGCCTCCTCCGCTTCCCCGCGCACCGCTCCCCCCCCCCCCGGGGTCCAGGAAAGGGTCCCCCTCAAGCCCCTCCTCCTGCCCCTTCAGGCCACTGCCACCAGGCCGGCGCGCAGGCCGGCGAGTACTGGGGGACCGGAAGTGAGCAACCACCTGCCTTTCTTAAGAGGAACTGGTGAGGCGTTCGGCGAACGCTGCCATCTGCTCAGCGGGGTGGTAGACGAACCGGGTCCCCCGGCGCCCTGCGCTGTCGGTCGGGCTTGAGTCGGAGCCACGGGGAGCCACGCTGCAGTGACAGTCTCCGCGTCCCCGCCGCAGGAGAGCCTCTGGGGGCGCCTGCTCGGCGCACACGGACCCTGGCCCCAGCAGCCCTCCCCCGGGCGCCCCCTAGAGCAGCGCGCACTCTGTGGGGCGCATCGCCTCCGCCAGAGTGTACGAGCGGCGGTGCGCGCACGACCCCGCGCGGGCCAGAGACGGTGCGGTGACGGCCCGCAGGCCGCGGCTGAGAGGACAACGTGCTCATCACGTTGCAGTTCTCAAAAGGACACGTGCCCTGGGATGATGTGCGCATGTCCTGGTCTCTAGGAGACCGGGTGAGAGGGACAACGTCTCCACCCCGCGCTCAACAGGTTAGGAAAGGAGCACCTGGAAGGACGTATGCGTGCGGACGGACGGACAGACAGACGAGGGCGCGGGCGGGGAGCCACAGAGCAAACGGGGCCAGGGGAGCTGAGTAAAGGTCACACAGGCGTCCTTGGCTGCTTTTCAGCTGCTCGCTAAGTAGTAAATTAGATGAAAATTAAACAAATAGATGCTGAGGGCGGCGGAGGCGGCCAGCACAGGCCGAGGAGCGCCGCGTGGGCGTCTCCTGGACGCATGCGCCCTGAGCCCGGCACCTCCGCCCCTTGGTGAGCCCCCGCACTGCCTGAGGCGGTGGAGCCCACGCACCCCAACGTGGAAGTGACTCACACGCCCCCCGAGGGAATAAACCGGGGTGCAGAATTCCCCCATGGAATTCTGCAGAGAACGCGACGCCCAGTCGGGAACACTCCGCGCTGCGGCGGGGACCGGGACGAGTCTCGGACACAACGTCGCACCCCCAGGTCAGACGCTAACTAGCCGGAGTGGCCGGTCAGAGCAGGGGGCGGGACTCGGGGGTGACTGGCAGCGGCCCTGGGGCCGCTGGGAGCTGTCACTATCCTGTGTGGACCCTGTGTGCTCGGTTTGGGGTCCCACCCTGTGCTGAACTTCGGGCCTCTTGCCGCGCACGGGGCACACTGGGCCGGCGGAGAAGTCTGTTCGGTTCGCCCACGCGCTGCCGAGGGGGGCGCGCTCCCTCGTCTTGAACTTCCGTTGAAACCCTCGTTAGAATGCATTGTGACAGCTGTCCTATCAGCACGCGTTTGTTTTTTTTTTAAGTATCAAAATGGGTGCATTTTTGTGCAGAGATTTTAATGCTGGAGATGGAAGAAAATTCGCAACATTTTCGGCACATGATGCTTTATGATTCCAAGAAAGGCAAAAACGCAACTGAAGCGCAGAAAGAGACGTGCACAGTGTGTGGATAAGGTGCTGTGACGGATCACACGTGTCGAACGTGGTTTGTGAAGTTTCCTGCTGGAGATTCCCACTGGCTGAGGGTCCACGGCCGGGGGACCAGGTGAGGCCGACCCCAGTCACGTGGAGACATTAATTGAGATCAGCGTCGCACCAGGTGGGAGAGACCCCGAGACACTCAAAATATCCAAATCAGTAAAGTTATGGGTGAAAATGAAAAATGTGTCTTTCATTCTACAGAAAAAAACTAAACGAACGTCTTTGGCCAACCCAGTATTTAAAAAAAAAAAAAAAAAAAAGCTAAAAAACGAGGCAGTCCAAAAGAAAAGGCTCCTATATACATTTTTAAATGAAAAACCAATTCGGTATTTCATCGGCAGGCACTAGGCCGGAGGGACGCGAAGATGAGGAGAATGTTCCGGGGCCCTGGGAAGTGCGGCATCCGTGGCAGGAGCCCGTGGCAGCGCCCAGGGGCTGGGCCGGGAGGGCCAGGCCCCTGCAGGGCTCACTCGCACCCTGGGGCGGGCCCGGGCCCAGTCCTCAGAGGCGGACGGTGGGAGCCTGCGGTGTCAGGAGACCAGCTGAACCAAGGGCTGGCACGCAGAAAACCTGCCGCCAGGAGCCGACACCTGCCGCCCCAGGAGCACCTAGATACGGGCGCCCCCACCCCGGGTCTCCAGCCCCAGCTGGGCGGCAGTGAAACCCAGCAGCCACCATCCCTGCGGCTGCCGAGAGGGCCCGGGCTCACCTCACCCCGGAGGCCAGCCCCACCTCGGGTCCAAGGAGCCGCACCCCTGGCAGTGGCGTGAGGGGCTGAGCAGATTCCCACGAGCCGTCCCCAGCCCCACACCCCGGCGGGAGGGCAGGCGAGCAGCCCTGTCCGCGGTCCTCCCCCAGGGCGGCCGCCGTCTCAGCCCTGGGTGCCCGGCCCACAGAGCTGGGTGCCAACCCTGCACCCCCTGAGACCCAGATTCTGGGCTGGGGCACCACGTGAGGGGCTTGCGCCCACCTAGGGGCAAAGCTGGCCCCAGGGCAGCCCCCTGCCGTCAGGCCCCTGCCCCGCCCCGACCTGGTGGGGCCCAGCGTGGGCAGCAAGCCACGTGGAAATCGGGCCCAGGCAGCCTGGCTCCGGAAGTTTCAGACGGGACCCGCCCGTGTGCCTCTGCCCAGCACTGACCCTCTCGCCTGGGAACTCTGCTGAAAACTAAGGAGGAAAAACAAAAACCGACGGCCCAGGACTGACGCGGGCCCTGCGGCGGAGGGGAACTTCCGGTCGGCGTCCTCAGATCCGAGGAGGGCCAGCCCGGACCCGGCCGGGTTCCCTCGGCGAGACCCCGCCTGGGCCCCGGAACCCCCGTGGCCAGGGGCTTTCACGTCCGCGGCTTGTCCCGGGGGGCCGGTGGGCGCTCTCACGGACGAAGCCCCGAGACTCTACCTCCCCGAACAGCGTGGCCGGCGGGCACCAGGGCCAGCACGCCGCCGAAGGGCGCATGCAGAGAACAGCAGCTTCAGGAGCGGGGCGCACGCCGAGGCCACTGCACCTTGGAGCCAGAATGGGCTGGAGTGCTCTGTGGGCCTCCCAGAGGGGCGGAAACCCCCGGGTCTCACGCTCCGGGAGGGGACCAAGCTCCCACCAACCATGAGGACAGAGCTGCTGTGGCCTGGCTGGGGCAGGGGGGCGGGGGGGGGGCGGGGTGCGGGCGGGCCTCCCAGCACAGGGGCTCTGAGCTGTGCCCTTCCAGTGCAGGCCGGTTCCTTCGACAGACAGCCTGCGCTTACCCCGGGGGAGGGGTGAATGGGGTGCCTGGCAGAGGGCCCCGCAAGGAGGCCTGTGTGGGGTGAGTCAGGCTGTGGGAGGCGCCCGGAGGGCGGGCCCCCGTGCAACGCCCGGGTTTATAGCAGCGGCCCGGGTGCCGGGCGCATTGGAGCGCCAGCCACTGAGCCAGCAGCATGCTCCCCGCGCTGCTTCTGCTGCCCAGCCTCCTGGGGGCCGCGCTGGCCAGCCCCGTGCAGGGCGCCCGGGAGTGCGCGCGGGGCGCTGCCGTGTGGTGTCAGGACCTGCAGGCGGCGACGGAGTGCGGGGCCGTGGGGCACTGCCGGAGCGCCGTCTGGGGCAAGCCCCCGGCCAGGTCCCTGTCCTGTGACCTGTGCCTGGATGTGGTGGCCGCCGGCAGCAACGGGCTGAACCCCAATGCCACAGAGACGGACGTCCTGGCTCTGGTGACGAAGACCTGTGAGTGGCTTCCCAGCCAGGACTCCTCGGCCAAATGCAAGGAGATGACGGACGTCCACAGCCCGGCCATCCTGGACATGCTGCGGGGGGACCCGGGCCGCGCCCCGGCCCAGGTGTGCACCGCGCTCACCCTCTGCCAGCCGCTGCAGAGGGTCCCGGCCACCCCGGGGTCACCCTCCGAGGAGGACACATCCGAGGTGGTGGCCCCGTTCACGGCCGGCGGGCCCGTCGGCCCCCACCCCCTGCAGACTCCTGAGGACACCGTGTGCCGGGACTGCGTCCAGATGGTCGCCCGGCTCCAAGACGCCGTTGGGTCCAACATGTCCAGCCTGGCAGAAGTGACCACCCAGGAGCAGTGCAAGCCCCTGGGGCCGGGCCTGGATCTCATGTGCAAGAACTACATCCTTCACTTCCTCGCCCCTGCTGAGCACATGCTGAGGCTCGTCCTGCCCGAGGAGACCTGCGAGAGGGGGGGCTTCTGCGAGGAGGTGCGGGGGCCCGCTGCGGACTCGGTCCCTTCCCTGGAGCCGCTGTCCGCCAGGGAGAGGGACCAGCTGCTGATGAAGGCCGGCCTGACCTGCGAGGTGTGCCTGCAGGTGGTCCAGGAGCTGGACCAGTGGCTGGACTCCGACAGCACGGAGGCCCTGATCCGCCGAGGCCTGGAGCGCGTGTGCTCGGTGATGCCCACGTCCATCGTGAAGCAGTGCGTCACCATGGTGGACACCTACAGCCCCGCCCTGGTGCAGTTCGTGACCAAGGTGCCCCCGGAGGAGGTGTGCAGGACCATCCGGCTCTGCAGCCCCCAGCGGCGGCGGGCGCGGGCCATCCACGAGGCCTCCAAACCCACCCTGCCCCTGCTGCTGGACACGGAGAACCAGGGCCACTTCTGCAACGGGTGCCAGAGGCTGCTGGGCGTGTCCACCCGGAACCTGGAGCGCAAGACCACCCAGCGCAACATCCTGAAGGCCTTCAAGGGCGGCTGCACCATCCTGCCGCTGCCCTACATGATCCAGTGCCGCCGCTTCGTGGACGAGTACGAGCCCGTGCTCCTCTCGACCCTCAGGGAGGTGATGGACCCCCTCAGCCTGTGCACGAAGGTGGGCGCCTGCCACGCCTCCAGGACCCCGCTGCTGGGCACCGACCAGTGCGTCATGGGTCCCAGCTTCTGGTGCTCGAACCAGGACGCGGCCGAGATGTGCAACGCCGTGGAGCACTGCCAGCGCCACACGTGGAAGGTGGCGCCCTTCCACACCGGGGAGCACGAGTGACCGTGGCCGCCAGCGACCCCCGGGGGGCCCTCCTCTCCTCGGCTCCCGCAGGGACCCTCCGAGGTGGGCGCTGTTCCCACTCCCACGTCACAGACGAGAACTGAGGTTCTGGGTGTGGCACCTGCCAGCGCCGAAGTCCCCGATCTCCATCTGGGCAGCGGCGCCGTGCGGCTCTGCCCGTGTGAGTGTCCCCCCCCCCCGCCCCCCCGGACTGGAACCGACGGCTAGGCATGGCCCCACCCCCACCCGCCGCCCCCAGCCTCCATCACCCTGACGGTGCTGACGGGTGGGGGCCTATCGCGGCCTCTGCTGCCCTTCCGTGCTCTGCTGGGCTGCGAGCCAGGCAGGGCGGAGGGCAGGAGAGGGCAGCCATCCTGGGTGGGGTCCCTCTTGGCCAACAGCTGGGGGTGCAACTGGGTCTCATCCACAGCCACCGTCACTTGGCTCAGGACAAAGCTTCGCAACCCAGGGTCCCGGGGGCGGCCCCAAAGGGGTGCGACAGGTGTGGGTGTCTATGGGCCTTTCTGGGAGGGGGCTGGGGCCGTGACCACACCCCGCGGGGGTGCCTGAGCTCAGAGCAGGCCTTCCCAGGCCTCTGCCCACCCCGGGGCCCCCAGACACCCCTCTGCCAACTGTCACGGGCAGAGGGAAAGCTGGCGCCGCCCCTAAACAAGGAGGACATGCACCCGGGGGCCCGCAGTGGCTTCTGCGCTGTGAGGCCCTTTGGCGCTGAGCACGTCTTCTCACTGTCAGAGCCTCCGCTGTCCGGTCTGCAGGGAAGTGTGAGCAGACCCGTCTCACGGGGACGGGGACACACTTCAAGGGGACGCCCAAGGACTTCTCTCCCAGAGACTCGCCTCCCCCCCTCCCCCCAGTCTGCCGGGGCCAGCGGACCAGCTCGGGGTCCCGGGAAGAGCGTGGCTGTGCACGAGCGGAATAAACCGGAGGGTCCCCAGCGCTGTCTGCCGTGTCCTCATTCTCGGGGGCAGGCGGCCCCCCACGCCGAGCGACCCGGCCCCTTTCTGCCTCGCCCGGTGTCCCCTCCTGGGGCAGCCTTCCCTGGAGCCCCCCCCCGACCTGGTTCACGTCATCCGTCTCCCTGGTACACCGTGAGCCCCCGGGGATGGCGCAGGGCACGACCCCCCGGTGTCTCGTGCCTGGCACAGGGCTGGCACACAGTAGGTGCTCAAGCATGAGGCCTGGCCGGGTGAGGCCTAGCAGCTGCCTTCAGGCGAGCCCTGTGGAATGAGAGGAGAGGTGCCCGGCCTGAGTGGGCAGGGACCTGAGTGGGTGCTGTTTTCCAAGATGCCACACCTGAGCTCTTAGGTAAACACCCCGGGCCCCGGCCGCTGCCCCAGAAAGACAGGTGTGCCCAGCCTGAGCTCCGGATTCCGCGGTGCCGTGCACGCGGGCTGGCCTGGGCCCACCGGTCGGCCCTGTGAGCACGGCACAGGGCTGGCGACCAGGCCGCCCCCAACCGGAGGCCCCCTGGGGCCACGGGCAGGCGGCTGTGCGTCGGACCCCGAAGCACAGGTGTCTAGGGGTGGACGGGCTTGTACACCCGTGGACTGGGCCCCCGCCACGGTCCCCAGGACTGGCCCCGGAGGCTGTCCGTCTGCCAGCCGCGTCCCCTCTGTGACAGGATGGAGCTGCAGCCCCACCTCCGGCCCCGTCTGCGGGACACCTGCTGACAGCTGCGTGACAGGGCGGTTTCCCGGGGTGCCACGGGTCGTACACGGCTGGCCCGTGGGAGGCCAGGAGGGGGCACCAGGTCTCACAGGTGACCCATCCGCGCAGAGCTGAGATGCTCTCGGGCGCCCGCCATCCTGAGCTGGCCCACCTGCCCCAAACCCGAGCCACCTGTGGTGGGCAGTGGGTCTCCCCACGCCCCCTCCCTCTGTCCACGCCGCCCCAGGCCTGGGAACCAGCTGACGGCATGTGAGCCCAGCCAGGGCTCCCCCTGTGTCGTCGTCCAGGGACAGTGGCCGCCGGTCACCTCCAGAGGGCTTCCCACGTGCCCCGGCTGGGCCCTGCCCCCAGGACTCTGCTGGACTCCGGAGGACGGCTTGCCCTCCGCAGCCACCATGACAATGAGGCCATTCTGGCCGGCGGCACCCTGTCGGCCCAGCACGGTGGCCCTGGGAGGGTGTGGCTCTCGGACACCCCTCCCTCCAGTTTCTCCAGGCCCCGAGCCCCGAGCTGCTCATGCAAGACCCCAGAATTCGTGGGTGCGCACAGCTGGGTGACAAGGCTGTGTAAGGTCCTCCTCCCGCCGAACCCAGCAGGCCGGGAGGCTAGGCCTGCCCCCGCGCCACCACCCTGGGACTTCCGCGGACAGGACTGTCCGGCTGGACAGAATGCAGTGTCCCCACGGCCTCCCAGCAACCCCCCAGTGGCTCGGGGCCCTGGACATTCCTTCCTGGTTCTCACCCGGCCCAGAAGGGGCCGTGACGGCTCTGGTGTCACGCTCCGGTGGGGAGGGGCCGCGACCCGGGGAGCCACCTGCAGGATGGGGAGAGTCGTGCCAGGGGAAAGTCTCGCCACGCCCAAACCAGTCTCTCAGGCCGGCCTCCCCACGGCGGGACCAGACCAGGCAACTGCAGGCACAGAGGAGGGGGACGGGCCCCCCAACGGGCTGTCTGCTCAGACGTCCCCGGCCCGTGGACCCAGAGAGAGGCTGCGTGCGTTGTCCAAAGCCACGCAGGGCGGTCACTGCACAGCTATCCAGGGGCAGGGGTCGGGGGCACCGGACGAAACGGCAAGTACAGGCCCCTCCTCGGCTGAGGCGGCTGTAGGTGGTTCGGGTTTCAAGGAATCTGGAACGTGAGCTAATGAAGGAGGCCAGGGAGGGGTCGCCTGCAGCCCTGGGGGCTCCGCCCACGCAGGGCCCCACCTCAGCCCACGGGGCCAAGGTCAGGGGCAGGGCAGGTCTGTGGCGCCCTCCTGCCATCCTGCACCCACACAGGGAGACACGGCGCCCAGCCGGCCCTACAGGAAGAGGGGGGCAGGGAGCCACAGGGAGCAAGGGCCTCACACACTGACTTTATCGTTTTTTAAACTGACTTTTAAAGGATTTTATTTATTTGTTTTTAGAGGCGGGGGAAGGAGGGAGAAAGAGAGGGAGAGAAACACTGAGGTGAGAGAGAAACATCTATCGGCTGCCTCTCACCCTTCCCACACGCCCGGGGCCTCGCCCGCCCTCCCCCAGCGCTGGCCGGGTGCCCACGCCTCCTGAGACTGGAGAGGGCTGCTCCCTCCCCGGCTCCTCCAGGCCTGGCAGCGGCCTGAGGGCGGCCACACAGGGAGCGGAGGTCGAAGGTCACACCCTGGAAGAGCGGGCACCTCCAAAAGTGGCCCCCACCCATAACCGCCACCTCCCCCCGGCAGAGCTCAGGCCGCAGGCTCAGAAACAGCTAGTGACCCACCTACGGTCACTCGTCAATGGCTGAGCCGGGACAGGGGGCAGCATTAGGAGCCTGTCACTCTCCCACACCCTAACAGCCCCCAGGGCCCCCCAAACAAAACAGCACCAACAGCACGCTCAAACCGGCAATGCACCTGGCCCCGCGCTGAGCAGACTCTCCCAAGACCCTCCCGCAGCAGTGCCCCCCCTCTGCAGATCAGGGGACCGGGGCTCGGGGCAACTCGCCCACTGCCTGGCACCGGCTAACCCCCAGGAGCCTCCCCCAGCCCCACGCCACTCTGCCACCTGCACGCCCACCAGATCCTGCTCATCCGCGCACAGGTTCACGGCTCCATCCTTCAGAGCACACTCAGGCGAGGCTCGTTACATAACCGAAAACAAAGACAGTTGTTCACGAGTCTTCCACCCAGGGAGTTCTGCCGAAATGCAGCGAGCCCCCAGGGCTTCAGTGCAAAGGGCGGGAGGCCGCAGGGAAAGGTGTGGGGGTGCAGAATCGGAGTGGGGGAGTGCGAGGTGTTCCGGGTCCCACGCAGACCCAGCCCCTCCGGGGACCACTGGAACCGGGCTCTGCACTCCACAGGGTCCAGGAGGGCCAGGGGGAGGGGGCTTTGTGGTCTTCCTGGTCCAGTGCCCCCTGCCCCCTCGTTCTGCCCAGCCGGCTGCCTGACCGTGCCTCCCTCCACCCGAGACTGCATCCTCCCTGCCCCTCCGCATGCGGCAGCCACGTGACTGCTCCCTGCCCCACGGCCACGCACAGGAGGCCTGCCTGGCCGGCACCTCCGACTCAGCAGCCCGGGCCCCACATCCTCTGCTCACTTTGCACGTCACCGCTCCACACCTCCCAGGTCTGGGCCCCTCCAGGCTCCCCACACCTCCGTGTCTCTGCGCACGACGTCTCCTCTGCCTAGAACGCCTCTGCCCTGCCCGTCAGCCTGGAAAACTCCTCTTCATCCTTCAAAGCCCAGTTCAGACGCCGCCTCCTCCGAAACGCCCACTCACCCAACCCTGCGGGCTCCTCAGCACTAGGCACTGGCCACCGCCTCCGCCTCCCAACTCCGGCAAGGTCGGTCCCCTTCGCAGCCAGCTCTGAGGCCCAGCAAAGGGCTCCGACGCTCAAGAAATGTTTACAGAATTCAATAATCTGAAACTGTCTCTTAATATCTTAGGTCAGTGTTGGTATCCCAGTCAGGCCCCCGCCCTTGACCAGAGACACGGAGACGGCTGGAGGGCCACTGTCCTGGGTGCCTTCACGCCCTGTGTGGTCAGCGCAGCAACAGGCCCTAATGTGGTCGCGCCCTACGGCCTGGAGCTTGGGTGCAGGCTACCTCACGGGCAAGGGGGACTTTGCTGACGTTACTCAGTTAAGAGCTTCGAGACCGCAGGGTCCTTGAGAGGGAGAAGCTTCCGGGCTCTGGCCACAGAAAGAGTGGGAAAGCGAAAGGGCCAGAGAGGGTGAGCCCCCAGGGCTGTGAAGGTGCAGGGTGGGCTGGGAGCCGGGGAATGGGGCAGGTCGGGGGTGGGGGTGGGGGTGGGGTTGGAGGCGGGGAGAAGCAAGGGAAGGGTTTTCCCCTGGAGTCCAGGGACGGGAGGCCACCCAGTCACCCTTGATTCTGGCTGTGAGACCCACGTGAGACTCCTGCCGCCCAGACCGTGTGTGATGATGAACCTGCGTTGTGTGAAGCCGCTGAGTATACGGTGACTTGTTACATAGCAAGAGAAAATGAGCGCGCCCCGCGCTCCAGCTGGCTGCTTACCCCGGGGTCCCCCACACCCTGGGCGCTTCCTTTCCCCGGCTCCA